CACCTTTCAGCAGGCATATTGGCCCACTCCTCAATGCTTGAAATTTAATGATTTGATTTTTTTTTTAAATGCTTGAATTTTGAGTCTAGTGCTTGTAAATGTTTTATGTTGTAATCATAAATATTTCCCAACAAGTAGAAATCTCCATAATAAACCACTTTTTAAAGAGAGAGTAAAAAAGAAAACAATGCTAACCATGTTGTCTGCATCTGGTGCAAGCTTTCACATTAGCGTCTTACTAGTCTTCTGTCATGACGATGCAGCCTTCAAGTGGACAAATGGTAGATCCACCATGTAGGATGTCATTTTGATAAACAGTGGCTGGAAAATATAAAATATAGTCCATGGCAAGTGAAATATAAGTCACACAGGCACTGGCTACCCCATTTTTGTTTTATTTATGCTAACTACTAGCTACATACTAGGTTAACGTGATAAAGAAGCGCTGCTTTAGATATGTCAGCATCGGGTGATTCTGATAAGGTGTTATTCCAAACGAATGATTCCCACCAGAGTTTGTATTCACTGCACCAGAAGTGCGTATTTAGCAGGGAGACAATGAATCTGGTCAACTCCGCTTCAAAACTGCAATTTACCACTTTTCATCCCATGGTATGGTATCGTGATCAAAAAAAGTTGCAGCTAAAATTATCTGTTCTAGACGTATATTAAGGAAATGGGTATTCTTAAAAAAAAATTTAAGAATGTATAAGCAGTTGGAACAATTTAATATTTTTAATCTATTAGAATATGACATATTCAAAATTATTAAGACTTCTCAACAAAGATTAAAAGTTTTATTGATCTCAAGCATTGCGTCCTATTTTATAGGTGTTGACGAGCTGTTTTGCATTTTTCTAATAGGGTTTTGACAAATGTCTGCTGAAAATCATGCAGGGTGGAAATATCCTAACATCAATTTGCTTTTATTTATATATCCCCTATTCACTTTGTCATCTCAAGGCACTTTTCAAAGTCAATACAATCAAATCCTTCAGTCAGATTGGCAAGGATTTTCCCCTCTAAGGAAACCCAACAGCTTGTTTTGAGTCTTGAAAAGCAGCATTCACTCCTCCTGCAAGAGCGTAGAGCCAAAAAAAAGAGAAATTGACCTTGATAAAGGTGTATGAACCTGCCATTAGCAAACTGCACCTTTGTCTGAGGTTGGAAGGATGCCTTTTCCAGACAGTATGTTTCTAACTCCTCCCAAATGATGCTCAATAGGATTTAAGTCACAAGCTCATAGAAGGCCACTTCAGAAGGGGTTTTTAGCTGTGTGTTTAAGCTCAACCCTGTTGCAAGACCAATGACGAGTGGCTGGTGCTGGGCATCACATATCTCTCTTGAATCCCTTAGTAGCCTTGAGGTTTTGTTGTTCCCTGCAGAGATTTGAGCCTGATGAGGCCAAGCAGCTGCAGAGCACAATGGAGCCTTCTCTATGTTTTACTGTAGGGACAGTGAGTGCTCTTCATTTTTTTCTCCATTTGTTAACATAAAGCTAAAGTACCTGGCAAAAATATACAATTTGTCTCATCTGTCCATAGGGCTTTTTCTTAGAAGCTTTGTGGCTTGTCAGCATGTAGTTTGGTTATTTTCACTCCATTTCTTTTTTTATGATAATCATTTTTTCCAACTGTTGTGTCCACTGTCTCCCATTAAGTCCACTTTAGCTCAAACAATGATGGATGGTGGGATTTGACACCACAAAGATAAACTTCCTTCAGCTTGAAGTGTATCTTTAATCCCTTTAGAAGTACTCTTCTGGGATTTTTTTGTTACCATTTGTTTTATCTGTGTCTTTGATTCTTTTTAAATAAATTTTTCTCATGGGACTACATCCATGTAGGTTAGCTACAGTCCCTTTAATCTTAAATATCTGAATAACAGATATTTCATGTTTGCAACTTTAGTCACATGTACATCAAGCTGCTTGGAGATTATCCTATAGTCTTTATCTTGAACATGCTAGTCTATAATATTTCTAATCTCCTGAGAGAACGGGTACCTTTTCTCTGGTCTCCTAAAGTTTGAAGCATCTGGTTTGCCTTCCGTTTAGTTTTAAATGTTCTGTCGTTTTTTTGTGGGTTTTTTTTATACAATGTAAAGTGATCAGTTTACCTAAAGATAGTAGAAATGTTTCAAGGTGCCCCGAATGACGGCTCTAACAAAAGATGCTGAATGCAGCAAATTCTCTTCATGCTCCATCCTAACAGAAAGCAAAACAGTAAAGGACAAAACAGACATGACTGCGACATAAAAGTGCTTAGAATCCCAATTCCACTGTATTTTTTTATTTATTTATTTATTTTTTACCGGTTTAAAGTATAGTCCCCAAAATACTTTAAATGAGACATTCATCTCTAGTAAAAAAAAAAAAATGTATTAAACTTAAATGTATATCTTTTTTTAATGTTTTTAGTTTTTACGACACTAGTGGCTTGTTTTTTGGACAGACTGACAGGAAAGGGGACATGAGAGAGGGATAGACATGCGGCAAAGGATCACAGGTCCATTACAGCCCGTTGGAAATAAATAAATATTATACAGTAAAGCCCTTAACTTATTCAGATGCAATAATGCTTTCTGAAGTTGGTTTAAGATCGATCTTTTTCTTGTATTTATAGAAATGGCAATAAAAGGCTCTTAAATAAAAGACATGCACAAGGGGAAACATGAAAACTCGATGCAGAAAGACTTGAGAACTCTCTGGGTTTTGGCTAACCTACTTATAGGACTCTTGTGCTGCAAGGCAACCAATGGTCAACCATGTTTTAACAAGAAAACCCTGAATGTTGAAAGAAATAGCTTGTTGATCTGCGTTCTTGCTTAGATTCTTTCACTCTATGGTTAATACATTAAAAGTAATATGGGCATATGTTATTGGGATTGGACAAACCTGCAAGAATCACACCTTTAAAAAAAAAACTGCATTATGCACACAGATGGAAACGTAATTTCTCGTATCAACTTCTTTATCAAACATTATCCGTAATCTAGTCAATGTTGCTTTCAATATTATTCTTTTTCTGCCTCCTTAACATTGATATTTTTATATTCAAAGGCTGCCTGCCATTTTATAGGCTGTACATGGACGCATACATTTCCATAAAAAGACACCAATCAATTCCCCATTTGATTCCCCCATTCGGTTCCATTCATTGTAAAAATGAATGAGATGGTGTGGAGCTGTGACTGTCGATGGTCAAAGGGGCATTAAAGTTCCCTCAAGCAGACGTACAACCCAAATTAATCAGAAAGCTGAGTTTTAGGCATCTAAATAAATTCTCTTCAATACAGACAATAAAATATTACAAATTAATATTAAGGTAATTGTAACATGATTTAATTTAGACTTGCTGATTGAGTAGCAGCGGTCCACATGTAATGGCTATAACTCACTTGGAAGAGTAGTCTTCTTTTATGGAAGTTGTGGTTTAGTAGCTGGGTAGATATGGCTTTATTATTAAAAAACTTTGAAGGATTTGAAAAAAGGCATAAACCAAGTTTACCATTTGATCAAATTGCTGTTTTTTTTGTGTTATTTTTCAATGTCCAACGCATAATGAGGCATAATTTAGATTTTTTATTTTTTTTGTCAATGTATCTGATGATCTTGTTTTTACATAACACAATTAGCACCAATGCAAACATTTCAGGGGCTATAAGCTCGGAAGTGTTTAAAAAGCAAAATATTCTTGTCTTTAAGGATTTGACTTTCGTGAGCAGAAGTTCAGTCAAAAGACATTTTGAACTCTTGTTTTCAGCTGAAATTTTCCTCAGCATTTTACACTTGACAATCAAACATTTCCCTGAGATGTGTCACTGTTGAAAAAAATGCTACAACTATGGACACATTTAAAAGAGGGTACCGTTCTGTTCATACACAGACAATTGTAATTACTATAATCACCTTAAAGGTACAATACCTGATTCTACATTTGGTGAACTTTTTTATTTTAATTTCTCTATAAGAAACCCTCCTTCTCTTGAACATGCACAAGGCTAAACACGTGCCTCAAGCTTGTGTAAAACCCTCCAGAGCACCATTTCACATATCTTCACAGTTACAGATAAAATGTTTCTAAAGCAGAAAGTGAGTAAGCTTAGGACTGATAAATAATGAAAAGTTACCTGTCAAGCAGAGCTACAGACAATTTTGAGTCCAAATCTAGTCTCAGGCTATTCCCTCAAAGCTCTCCATTTGTAGTAGGACATGCCAGTATTCACATGCAATTTGCTTCTTCTTTGGTCACTGTTATGCTTCAGGTGTCTCTTCTCCATCTGCTTTACTTCTTTTAGGCTGTTTAGCAGCCTGTGTGTGCAGTGGCAGGCAGTGGAGGTATCACTACCTCCCATGGCTCTTTGGCAATCATGCTGTTCCTTTTATGCATGCACCCACTGGAGGAGCAGCTGCTTAGCAAAGACTTCACCTCTTGTGCCATTGGCAGAGAAAAACTGTTGCAGGTTTTCCCCAGTTCTTGCTTCTTCCTACTACAAAAAGAAAAGAAAAGAAAAAAAAAAGCATGGATTTGCTCAAGCTTGCAAATAATTAGTTCATGTTACAGTCATCTACAGCTTTTTTCATAAGCAGGCCCAGAAAAACTGAAAACAAGTAAAGTTCCTCTAAGACTGACAGCAAACTGCAATTTTTTAATGATTGTATTTATACATTTGTGTGTATTTTTGAGTTGCCCAGCTTAATTTAATGTGGTTTTAACACTTAAACCTTACATGTATAAGCCTGAGCAGAGGTAAGCAACACACACATTCACTGTTCTTCTATAAAAGGCAAAGTTTACTGTCACTGTGGAAATAAACGTCACCGCTTTTTATGTGTTGCCCTGCCTCCAGCCAAAATTAAGTGAATAATGTTAAAATCCCGTCAAAAGTGAACTGCTTTGTTTAGGCAGAGTTTTTGTAACCCTGCCTGTGTTTGTTAATTTTTGCTAAGAAAATATCAGAAAGAAATTATTGTTTGATTTGTTGTTGTTTTTTGTCAGGAACGTGATGGCATGCGTGCTATATTGGAGTCTTATGACAGTGAACTGGCATCAAATGAGTACTCTCCTCAACTCAGCAAACGAGTCAGAGAAGCAGAAGAAGTTATGCAGAGGACACAAACTTACAATACAGAGATGGAGGTGCGTTATGGCTTTAGAGATTTTTTTTTTAATGTCTAGTTGATTTAACCTTTTCAGACTAAACGTATGTATTCTTTCCAATATATTTTGGAACTTTACAGTTTTGTTATTAATTGTATTTTGTAAATGAACAAATTAAATGGAAAAAAGAAAAAGTTGATACAAAGAACGCATGCAGGTTGTCTCTTGCCCAATCTTCATCTGTATTTTCTGTTTATGCTGTCTATTTCTTAGATTACTTAAAATGTTCACTTTTTCTATTAGAAAACACTTTTTTGTCAATTCAGGCGCAGCTTACCAAGGCACAAGAGGAGACAGGGGAACTGAAACTAAAGCTACAGAAAGTAAGTATACTCTGCCCTCCACAATTTACTAGGTGTCCTTCAGTAGAAAGGCCTTATAATAACATTTTAAGAAGGTAGCATTCGGTTTTTCTTGCTTAAATTCTGACACCAAAGTTATTGGCATCTCCTAACACCAAAGACAGCCGCTTGGGTTTTGGTACAGGTCCAGATATTAATGGGCTGATAGTTAACACCTTTTAAAGAATTTTAGTATCAAAGCATCATTTTTTTCCTCTTGGCTATCACAAATATTGCAGTTTGAAGAAAACAATTCATAGGTTTGTTATCCATTTTCTTCACATTTAATTGAGAAAATGTATAGAATAAAAAAAAGGAAGTTTGTAATTTTTTTAACTTTGATAGTCTAGTCTCTCCCTCTAGTCTGTGCCCCTCTTCCCCTACCTGCCAGTGGTTTAAATTATATCCCACACCTGTTTGGACAAAGGCACCAACAAACTGGCACTGGAAAGAGGAATCAATGAACAGAGTTGGATGAGTCGATTAATGGAAAATGACTTAATGACATGATTCTTGAGGGAAAAAAAAACAAAAAACCTTGCAACTCATTAATGCCCCCAAAAAACTCTTTGTGTGCACTAAATACTAATTTATGACGGCAGAATATATAATACTTGCACAAAATACATGAATTCACTCCTTAAAAGTACTTATTTGTGGCCATAACATGGGTATAAAGTGCTCACGAAATACTAAAACAATCTTCTCATACAGCCCAACTTCTGATTTGTTGTCTTGATTCTGGTTCTAATCGATTCTCAATTCCACCTATGTGAGGAAGAAGGGTCATAAAGGTTTCAATGTTTTAAATGAGCTGGCTAACCAGAGTTCTTTCTAATTGAACTTAATTTTATGAACATTTAAATTCTTTTAAACGTTACTCTTAGTTATCACAATGTTATTTCCAACCAGAATATAAATATCAAACTTAAGAACTATAATATCAATCTGGTGAATTTCCTTTTCACAAGGTCAAACTTTCACATTAAGAATTGTTTAAAACCTCATTAAGACAGATCTATACATAGCCAGTTTCTAACGCTGCAGCTACCTATACCTTAATACTTACTCTATTATTTTAAATGACCTGACTCCGGCTGCGGTGAGGTGCTAGGCTGATTGTCACAGCTCGAGGAAAAAAAGCATTGCAACAGATGCTGTGCCAAGAATGATATCCCCACGACATTCGCTTCCCTGGCATTGTTACTGCCCCTCATTTCCATTCAACTAGATATAAAGGTTGTGATGTTTAATCTTTGTAAACAGAGAAATGAGATTTTGTTCTCTATTGTTAGTGGGTTTCATCAAATACAACCAATCCCAAATGAAATAAATGAACAAAGTTAGGCTTAAAATATTAAACTTCTGGCAGAGCTAGATTAAAGAATTCATAGGAAATGTGGCAGGTATCCACCAAAACAATGTAAAAGGAAGATAATTGCTTTGTTTTGTATCGGCACAGTATTGTTTTTAACATTCACCGATTTTGGATGTTCGGCATGTGTACACTTTTAGTATGGATCATGTGCAATATTTTATCAATGACACACCTGGTCTATACCAGGACTTGGGAGAACTTGATTGCATACTAAGGATGTAATTCATCATTTGGACTCAGGTGTGGAAGCCGGGATACATGGAAGTTGTTGAACATTGGACCTTCAGTGATTGCAATATAAAAGCAGGGAGGTAGTATTAGTCCTAGAAAACTAATCTTCTTCCTGTAAAGAATTCTTGAAGTGGTCAAATCAGAACAGAAATGTTTCAGCACACCCAAAAAAAACATGCTTTTCTGTATCTAGTTCAAAGACCTAAACACTGAATCGGAATGAGGAGATGAGCCAAGACCAAGAGTACCGTATATATAATGGGTAATTTTCTCTAAATCTATGCTACTAAGAGCATTTGCGCAAACGTGTTAAAATTACTGTATCCCAACGTCATGAAATGTTATCTGAGAAAATCGAGTCCTTCTTTAAGTGCGACAAACATGGGTGTCCCGATCTGATATTAATATCGGCCCGATACTATCCCAAAAAATAGTTACGTATCTTATCCGCCAGCGTCCAAAATCTAAGATATTGCCATGCTGTTGAAACAGTCTCCTTCTGTTTAAAGTTTCTGTAACTCATTGGCTACATGGTAAGTTCTTATACCTTTTGTTGTTGAGTATTCTCTGTTTTAATAATATTACTTGACCCAGCATTTTCTAACATTCTACAGTAGAAAGAAAATAATAGATATAAACAGGATTTGTGTTGATACCGTATCGGGCCAATATTTGTATCTGTGAAATCAGCTGCAATAATGGTATTAGGGGTGTAAATAATAATCGTTTTGTATCGATGCATC